ATTCACCCCTCCTTTTTAAGAAAAAGGCTACATATCTTGAATTTAACAGTACAGGGTTTTTTCAGTAATTGCTAGTGACTCATGATTTTTTCTGTGGTCTACCCAGAAGGCCTATAGATTTAGGCTCAAAAATTGTAATTTCATTTTTTTTAGAAAAGTCAATTTTGAGCTTTATACTGAGGTACCTGCACTATATATACATTTATGTGTGTGTACATAYGCAAGTGTTATACAGTTGTATATTTTACATAAGTAATTTAGTACATGTGTATAGTTGTTTTGTGTGTGCATGTATATACATATGCAAATATATGTATACATACCTATTTTATATACACACAGAAGAAAATGGATCAAGAGTTTTTCTGCTAAAGGGGAAAAATTAAAAGTCTCAGCGATTCCCAATTCTCCTACATCTGTAAGTGCTGTAGGTGACATTTGCTCGACTGGCTGAAGCAGGAAGCTCCATAATCCTAACCTAAGAAATGACTGCAAGCACCTAGAACRTTTTGTTTCCATTCAATCTACCATGAAGCCCACTTCACAACGTGCTTGTGCATCAGYGTCTGGTGCTGCACAGAGCAGAGCCACCACCCAGTTGGACAGTATTACACATGTGCCTTTTTTCTACTCATTACAGCTAGTAAAAATTCACATCATAAAAGATGGGCTAAGAAAGCAAAATTTCATACCATATTATTAATTCTGAGAAATTAGAATTAGAATCCTGTTAAGTTCCTTCCTTGTCTTCATTCTAAAAGTAAAAAMTGTCTAGCTTTATGTGCAAGTTTTCTAACTTCCAAAATATCAGCCTAATTAGTATCTTTTCCTGAAGGTGATATGATCAACATTGTAATTTTAAGTTTTTAATGTCTACTGTTATTGTCTAGAATCTTGTTTTCAGTGTCATTCTACTCTGTTTTCCAAGTTCTTAAAATTGTCATTCTGATTAGCTACAACTCAACTAGATAAAAGGTAAAATGCAAAATATTGTAAGATTTAGACTCAAGTGTTTCAGAGCTTCCCGAAAGTCAAGTAGGAGAAATAAGTTCAAACTAAAATCCAAGTTACCAAGGATACAGATCTAAATGTGRTATGTAGGCTTCTCTTTGTGTGTTCTCGGACACACATACTTTTCTCACCACCTCAAGAAAACCTCTTCCTATTCTTTGTATTTTATTATCATGCTCTTAATTATGGTAGCAGTATTAAAAAAAAAAAAAAAAAACAAGCACAATTTTCCTAAAATCATTTTGCTAACACAATATTTACAGTAGAGCTCAACACTATTGTTAAGAGATGGTGGTGGAGCTGAAACGGGTGCAGACCTAGACCAAAGTTGCAGTAGTAACTTCTATTTCGTTTAATCGAGCATCGTTCAGTGAAGTCACTGAATTTAAAGTATTGGAAAAGGAAATCACATTCAAGGTTATACCACCCTAACTTATACCTTTAAGTAAATACACATTTATGGAAGATGCTTATATGTTTCACAATCTCCAAGTACTGCACTATCATTAAAGTCACCCATTACAGCAAAAAAGGCTAATAGAGTCGCTGTTCCAAACTGTTTGAAGTAGACTAATTATCACAAGATTGATTTCACCATAACATGCAAAAAGGCCTACAGAAATCCTACTATTTGTAGTAACATATCTGTAATCTCCAGACAGGAAGTCTATTTTCAGTCCATTTGTTATTATGATTTCCCTTGAAAAAAATGCACAGATATAGCATCCATTTGACCAGCCTCACTGAACAAAGTAACTTCAGAAATATTTTCTTCCCCACTCACTTGTAGGAATCTCTCTGTATCAGCAGCTCAGTCATTTGAGAAACCTATAAACACACAGAGACCAGCTTTCTTAAAAGGCTGCATTGATGGATGTACTTCAGTTTATCTTCATCATTAGGTGCAATCCAAAGATTTCAGCAAGCCACAGAAAACTCGGGCTAATGAAGTTCATTAGATCAACAAAATGCTTAATACTAAAGAAGAAAGATGGTAGATTTGAAAAGCAAATCCAAAATTAGGTCAAGAAGAGTGATAACAACAAATTCCTGTTTACTAATTAAATCTATGTGATATATAACAAGGCAGAGAAAAAAAAAAAAAACATCCCAGAACAGTGCACATGAATASCCAAGTTTTGAGGGTTTTGAGTTCAGGGAAGATGCATTTCAAATAAAGTTCACAGAGTTGTTTATTTTCTTTCCCAAGGTTTCATTTTTATGATAATAGCTATATATTTATAGCTAATAACATTATGCCATATTTAGAATGCATTCTTTAAATAAATGAAAGAACTCTGCCTTTCACACTTTACACCTAATGAGCTTGGTTTTTCCACATAAGGCTCGGAAGACATAAGAGGACATACTCCCAGTTGGTGTTTATACATAGAATATTTACCAACAAAAATTCTATCATATATGTGGGTCTTAAATTATTCCACAGCTTTAAATCAAGTGATTATACAATGGGGTGGTTCAGTGGGAGTAAAGGAGGCAGTTCAGCTTGCTCCCAGCTGTGGAAGCCTGCGCCTTCTGCAGATGCTCAGCTGGGATGCAGCTCATCCACCTCTTCTGAAATCCCTGCACAGGGAAAGAATAGTTTTCAAGACCCCAGATTTTCTCCAAATCAAGTCATCATTGAGCTTTTTTCATTTTCAGTGGCAAGGTTGTTTTTCCTGAGCAACAAGGCTGCACTGAAGACATCTCCCCTAGCAGCCAACCTTGTAGGCCCGCAAGCCCTGCRTTCTCACATCAGCATAGACAGAGACACGAGCTATTTATCATGGTTCTCCAAAGCCCTTTCTTTGCTCGTGGTTCCGTAGAACATCACGGGGCCCATCTCCATATCAGGATCCCACCCGGAAGGTGCCAAATCCTTGGAAGGTCTATCCAAACCCCAGCTCTGCAGATGAGCCACGTGCTCAGCGTGTGGTGGGAAAGACAATAATGAGAAACCAGAGAATTATTTTTTTCTGGTAATAACTTAGTATTGAAGATTATCAGCTCTCAGTGCAAGCAGTCCACCGGAGTGGATGTGCACTGTCAAGCAGAAAGGCTAATACAGTAAAAGCGTAGATATGAATGCCTCGTGGCACTACCCATGGGGGCATCGGGAAAGGAAGAGATATAAATAATTATTTCAAAAGCATCATTTAAATATTCATTAACACAGCTCTTTTCGAAAAGTGGTGGAGAATGTAGAAAAATAAATCGACTGCCTAAATACCTTCAAGAACAGACACAAATTAACAAGTACAAATACCACTAAAAATCCAATAAATATCAAAATATTTTTTTTTACTTGATTTATTTTAACTCTGTGTGCCTCACAGCTCACCAGTAAACGACTTGGAAAATTAAAGTAATGGCAGAAACCAGACATAGAAGAGAATTTGAATTCCMCCTCGTATAACCAGAATATTAATTCCAGGAAATTCTTCAGCCATAGTTAAGTTTATTTCATGCCATTAACCACTGGCACTGATTTTATCTGACATTTAATTCTGTTCAGGCAGCACTAGCTCAGCAAATCACACGACAAGTCACCCTGCACATATCTAAGGAGGGGAATTTACCATAAGTCACCGAAGGAGCTCTCATTAATCTGCAAGGAATTAAGGAAAATTGACCGATATAAAAGTGCCCCACATACACCTTTTTTGAGGGAAAAATCAGTTTTCACTCTAATTGGGCATGCCTAGTGACACACATGTAGTGGTGGTGTGGGGAAGATTTTTTGCAAAAGTGTTTGCARAAAAAAGGGGGTAAAAGGATATATATCAGCTATAAGGTTTTCTGGTCAGCAGGTGTTTTGCTCTGCTTAGGACAGGCCAGAACGACCTAGTAAAATCCAGGACTACAACTCCTAGACATTACGTGGAAATAAGTTAATAGACTGAAAGCACTGGAATAGGGAGAATGTCCCAGCAATAAAATGAGATATTTAGAGGTTTTGATCAGATGCATACAGAGCTGCAGGAAGATGCCTTTATTGGCAGGAAAGTAAGGAAATTCCTRAGCATATATTGTAAATACTAACTCGGCCACACACAAGGGACAAGAGGTGGCCCATGCAAAATACACCCCGAGGTGCACAGCAGCACATGAAAAGGGTTCTCCTTGCACAGCACAAGATCTCCAAACAAAACTGGCCCAGGAGCAGGAGTTTCACAGAGAGCAACTTCCCTATACATTGAATATCCAAGAAGTTATCCCAGTCTCTAGGCATCAAACCACAAAAGTCAGAGTCGAGGCTTCCCACAGCAGGCCAGAAAGCTGGAAGAAACCTTCCCTTTAGGTGCTTCAATGGACAAGAGGGKCTGCAGAGCAGGGAGGACAACCCGAGGGACAGAATCGCCTACACCAGGACTGCACAAGTCCACTCGCACACAGGACAAGGCTCAGGAGTCCTGCGGGTGTAATCCTACGTACTGCTAAGYGGAACCATGCAAAAAAGGAAGCATATTTTTAAAAGCATAATGAACTATTTAATTGCTGTCTGAACATTGAGCATTGCCGTTTATATCCTTCAAATGACAATAATTGTATACTGACTTGAGAGCTKGGAAGCTCCAAGAAAGCCACTAGCAAAGCATTAACATAGAGGAGAGAGTAATTGTAGACTATTTGTGCTCTGCAAAGAAGCAAAAGTAATTCCTCAGGAAAAAAATATATATATATTAGTACTTCTTCAATTAAGAGACTATCAGCATCTCAATTAAGTTCCTATTTTCAAGAATTTATATGATAACTAAGCTGCAAAGAGTTGCTCCAGGATGGAATGTGACATAAAAAGAAAAATCATAATCCCAGCAGCAGAATTTTAAAATATATTTCTGAAAAAAAAAAAAGATTTTTTTTAAACCATCTTTAAATTATACAAATTGGAAATGACTAGCAATGCATTTCAGCACAGCGGTTCAGAAATCATAATCAAGGCATATAAATGGCTCCACTTACTCATCACTAGCTAAATATTTACTTACACGTTCATGTCTCATGCAGCCATATCATCACGGCAACGACAGTAGCGCTATTTCGCTGGATATAGTCAACAACTTTCTAAAAATAGAGAGTAACCCTTTTCAGATTCAATTATCTTATTACAGGATCCAAAGCATTTCTGAATACCTTCAATTCACTTGCTTTCCTAGCTGCATGAAGAAGCAGAACATAGAATATGATACGAATTGAGATGAATAAAACATCAGTCCCTTTCTAACATTTGACTTAGCGCTATCCCTCATCTTATATTACTACACAAATACCAACTTTGTGATTGAACATGTGTAACATATTTGCTAATTAATCAGCATTCCGTGTCCCACCAAAAAGATACAGTAATTTTGAATGCAAAAGTTATGGATTCTGCCAGAGAAATTAAAAACTTTTGCATGTCCGCTTACAGTATATTCATTTATTAAACATATCTTGGAAACAATTATATGAAAAAGAGATCCACAGAACAAGCATCCATCTTGTCACACTCCCTGCAAAAGCGAAAAATTAGCTTTCCACAGGGCAACCTCTCAGTGAGGCAGCACAGCCCCACTGAAATGCAGAGCAACATCCTAATTTATCCTTATTGAGAAGATCATTTTAACATGGTTCATGATCTCAGAGTCTGCTACCACGGGGACACTCAAAAACATCATTCAAATTAACTAAAAATATTAAGTTAGTAGAGTGGATTAGTTAAACTGAATCAAGTATCTTTGAGGCTTTTCAGGTATGCACAGTTGACGCAGCCTCAAAGCAGCTTAGTTTGTTTCATCTTTAAGGCCAGTTTAAGATCTCTTCAATTCCCAGTGTCTGGATGGCCATAATTTAAAGCACAGTTAATAMACTCACTTTAAAAAAAATCACTTAGATTATTTTTTTCACTGATTATACCTACCAAATAAGTGACCAACCTTAAACAAAACCACCAGCTCTTCAGAGGAACCTTCAGGAGATGGTCACCAGGTTCGTTAAGCACAACTAATCCCTATAACAGCGATTAATGCCTATAGCACAGGTGATCTAGATTTCAAGAGCAACCTCACTCCATATATCTTAGTCTCATGACTATTGATAACAAGAACATATTATATTTTACTGCAAAAATACAGACTGCTTACTCTATTAAATGCCCTCCACCAGCTCCTCTGCCAGCCCTCTCCTGGTCCAGGGATGCAGAGGTTGCTCTTCATTCCTTAAATCGGTTTTGGTAAAAGTGTTGCCAGCAGTCTCAACAGCTGTAATTAGCAGTTAATTAGGTGACCCCTGAAATCAGCCTAATTGACCTGCAGAAGCAATCCACCTGCTCCTGGGTAAATAACCCATTGCTCTCACCCGTGGGTGTTTTAGAGTGGGTGTTTTAGAGCTTCTGCTTCAGTCTTTTGTCTTTCTGCTATTCGGTGTAAACCAGGTCAGCACATGAGCTCTTCCCTTCAGCCCCAGCTTGGTAACTTTAAACAACCAAAGGAATTAGAACATATTTTTTCAACTTAGACATGTGCTCAAGTGATTCCCTGCCCCAAAGCCTTAAGTTATTCAGAGAAATTGAAGAAAGGGAGAAAGGAGCAACCAGCACAAACACAAGGCTCACTTGTATTCTCTGACAGGATGGGRATAAACAGATAGTAAAAACTGAAGGTTATAACGGGTCGCAACTGCAAGACATGTCACCCAAGAGCAAATAAGGCAAAGAGCAGAGCACAGTGTAACTAGTGATGCAGTTATGGTCTTCTTCCTCATCACCCACAAGTTGGAGCACACTGCTCCTTTTGAGGCTTCATGCTTTGTTCAAGATAGAGAGATGGAGAGAATGGATGGAAAAAGCCCTGAGAAAAGCTAGAAGAATGGCCTAAAGCAAAATGACAGAGCCAGATGGAAGAAACGGCTGTCTCCAAATCTGGGAAGGGAATGGAAATACAGCATTTTCCAAAGCAAAAGTGCAATGATGGTGAGAGGAGGTACCTAAGCCTGCACCAATTTTTATACTTTAGAAAAATATTTTCCAAGAATGATGCTCTGAATCAGAAAAACAGATTTACTAATTTCCAGAAGTCCCTTCCAGTTCCACTCTTCTAGGATAGGACATCGTCATGCATGCCATTAACCACATTATTCACCCAACGTAACTCAGAGTCTCTGTCTTTCAGAGTGCTGCGTGCGCCAACACAGTGAGGTTACCAGATCTTACCAGGTGCAAAGTGGCAGAAAAAGGACAATTTTCTGAGCATCCAGCAATTGGATGCTGCTGCTCAGACTCAGCTAAAGAGAGTCTTTTGTGGGCTGAAATGATGAGGAGGTCTCAGAGGCAGATGGGCAATGCTGCTGCACAGTCCAGTAAGCAGCATCCATCTCCTTCCCTGCTTCCAAGCCCTTTTCCGGAAGGCTGAAAGCTGCTCGCTTGAGCTTGGCCATCTCCATGCAAACTACAGGAGAGATTTCAACAGCTGCAGGCCTCCCACTAGACTACAGGAGCTCTGCTCCTCTGGTTGGAACCAGAACTGGATTGACATCTAGTCAAGTTACAGCAATAAGGGTCAACGCTATGGAAGGAAACAGTGACAGGTCGCAATCTGGTAGGCATTCAGTTTTGTGTTATTCACAAAATAAATTTTGTTTTGTGTTATTATTGTGTTATTTCAGTTGTTAATAGCTCAACTTTGTGAATTCCCTTAAAACCTATCAGCTTCAAATACAGTTGTAAGATATTCTCGTCACATCCTTTTGGATACCACAAGTAACCTTAAACTCAAGGTCTGAGGAAAATGCTGAAGAGAGCACAGTGCTGCAATTTTGAAACTGCAGGAGGATCGGGTCCTTCAAATTATTCCTAGGAGATTTGGAGTCAAGGACAGTCAGAGAATCATAGGATCCTTAAGACTGGAAGGGACCTCATCTTTACCATCTTCATCTCCCATGAGTCTTTCTTGTGCCGCTCTGAGATGCTCTGCTGAATGAATCCAGTCTGACTTCGACCAAGGAGAGAGTACTCTGTTTCTAGCCCGCTTTGCAATATGAAACTGCATTATCATTCATGGATACAAGACTCCTCCTCAATAACATACTCTGCAAAGTAAGTCCTAGTCCTACAAATTGGTCTACACTGACAAATTGCCCAATTACTGCAAAATAAAAATGATTCCAAAAGAGCTTAGTGGCCTGATCGGATTCTGTCCAGTCACATCAAACTCCAAGGCTTTAGGTTAAAAACTCATCCATGAAACCAAGTCTATACATGAAATATTTATTGCATCACAACTAGATGAAATCTACTCTCACCACTATTTTTTTTTCTTTTTCTTTTTAACCAAGAAGTGCGGCTCACCTCTCTTACTCATATACTCACACACTCAGACTGAATCTGTGTGTGCATGTAAAGGTACCAATTTTCAGTTTTTCCACTTTGAGTAGCTTGGGATTAGAGATTTATTAAATATACAAGAGAATTTGTATCATGCAAAAAGTTCTGCCCATTTGCTCCTCAGCTGCCAATGCACAAACTTCTCTTCTCTGGATCTGCAAATACTTTTACCTTGGATTACAGATCAAGCAGTGAAAATCTCCGGCCACGCAGTGAATGCTTTGGAAACATAAGCTGCTGAAAATGGGTTTCCAGGAATACCTGCAGGGGTAATTAAAGGGGTTGTTAGTCGCCTGCTGTATTACACCAAGAGGCACCGCTCAGCCCGGGCAAACCGTTTTCTTGGTCTGTTGTAAGGTTTGTAGCTGTTTCTTGGGCTAAACCTCATAGAAAACTGTTTTTTTTTACACGCATTGAACTCTGCTAATCAAATGTGTCCAAAAATCAGTTGCAAAGTGAGAAACGCAGCATCATTTTGCTCTGGATAGCAAACCGCTAATCCCATCAACTTTCCAGTCCTATGCAAGGAGGATGTAATTGAAGGCAGTCCCCTAACTTAATTAAAGTAAAAAGTTACAAGTGGAAAACCTCTTGCAGAAGAAACCTTTYCATCATTTTGGGTGCACAAAGAAGCAATTTGCTTTCTGACATACCAGAAGCATATTGGAAGCAATCAAATGCAACAATTTCAAAGGGCTATTACCAACTCTCTGTTGAAAAAGGGCTRAGAAATAGATTTTTGATTTACATTTTTTTCAGGTCTTACTAAAAGCAAACGCTACCAGAAACTCCTAGTATTTCCCACTGCCACCAGAAAGGTTTTTCAATGTTAGGAATATTTCAGGCTGATCCTTCTGCCTTCCTTTTTCAACAGCAACCAAAATGCTTTTTGTCCCTATGTGTATACATATATATATATACACACACAAACCCCACATATTTATACATACACATGTTGATATAATAATAACATTTCCAGGGGACAGCCTGTAAAACCAGCACAAGTTCCTGTGCTTTTGGAAGCCCCAGTCCTKCTTGTGCCAAACTCTGCTTGGAAACAAAACCCGGGTTTGGAGGCAGCAGGTGAAAAATGGGTTAATTTAGATCACTGCAAAACTGGGGCAGGCAACAAAACTTGCACGTGAAASGAGAGACCGGGCATATTTTGAAGCACCTTTTTGCAGGTGGGCTGCAAACCTGGTTTCCTGGTGGCAGGAGCTGCACCCTGGTTGTTTGATTAGTACCAAGACCCGGGTTGCTGCRGGAGAGGCGCTGACACCTGCACCTCGACGCACCTGCGGGCTCGGGATTCTCCTACAAAAGGGAGCTGCTCCACTTAATGCACCCCTCGCTGCTTGCTGTTCCTCATACATAATGTATTCCCAGCTAAACTGAAAATTGATTTTTTTTTAAACTATACTACATGAAAGTGACCTAAAAAAAAAAAAAAAGTAATACATTTCATAAAACCTTAGTAGAAACACGCCAAGCCACTGAAAGTAATCTGGGAAGTCAGCAAACGCACTTATCTACCTGTTCTTAGATATCATTTTCTGCTTTTACATTCTTTTTGCTTTGGTATATGCTGCAACCAATTTATTTTGTGTTAACTGAGAATTTTCTAATGTTTCTGTTCAAGATAGCAGAAGCCAGAGGACTTGGGACTCTATGTAGGAGACATAAATGTTTAAATTCTTTTCTTAATAAGTTCTTCTGTCAGCTATCTTTTTAAAGCAAAAAGGAAAGGAAATTTCATTTTAATTAGACTACTGACTAGGGAGAAATCCTRCCTATCACTTCTATATGAAAACTGCATTTAGCAACACGTAGATCATTAAATTTGCTTACTTTCTGCACTGCTACGCACATTAAAAAAATTAGGTGAGTGCTCATATATTCTTTCCCTCTACAAATCTATCTTGTTTCCCACAAGGAGAGTTTTTCTAACTCACGGTCTGCAGGGCAGAGCAGTCCTAATATGTTCAAAACCCACTGAAAGCACAAACCACATAATTCACGTAGATGTAAGCGTTCCAGAAAGCGGGCACCATGCTTCCTCTAAACTCCCTCGGAGTTTGCTGAGGATAAGAGCATCTCCTCCAGGAGATACTGCTTTTCACAGGGCATTTTTCTAGTGTTTTCTCCAGAAAACAGCATCTGTAGATGGGTCTCCAACATTTCACTCTGCTGCCTCTCAGCATTTCCCCCCGTTACCCTCGTGCAAGCAGAAGATTCAGACAGGATTCACAAACTGTGCTGAAATGCTGCCTTTCAGCTTAGCTATAGAACAGCACATTTTTATACGAGGCAATTCCCTTAGCTCGATGCTCTTTGGCTCCTATGGCTACTATGGCCAAAGTGCATTTACTGTGGCCTGTCACCTCCAGGCTACTGAACCTGTGGTCCCACCTATTCCGGGGAGCACTGGAGCACCTCAGCTCCCCTGTGCTGACACAGACCCCGCGCGAGGTCCCGGGACACACAACGATCTCTGACCCTGTGCCCGCTAACGCCGGCGCTTTCTATAGCATCCCATATGGCCAGGAGTCACTTTCTGCCCTGCTGCTTGGATTATGGTTGGTTTATTCCTTCTAGCCTGGACTCCCCAACCACCAGGAAGAGAGGAAGGCTTTAGAGCTGTTACTCCCATGGTTTAGGTCCTCTAAC